TACAAACACACCTTCAAGTTCTTTGAGTCGAAAAGGCCTCAGTGTGCAGTGCACTGCTCGACCTTGGTACTAGCCAGGAAGAAGGATTTGGGAATCTGCACTCCCCCCACAGCTACGCTGCGGTTCTGTTGTTAAAAGCCCTGGATGTTGAGGAGATATGACGGAAAAATACAAAAGCTGGTCAGAAGACCTCCGCCCCCTGAAAAGCATCAGGCGACAGTCTGTGTCATTTACGGGAAAGAGCTATAAACAAAACTAGACGGACTAAGCAACAAGCAGCTCAAGTCCTCTCAGTTGACTCAAGGCCGCTTCGCACGTCAACGTGGAGCTATCTCAAACATGTAGAGCCTATCCAAAGCTTGGACAGTTTCCTCGCTCCAGCTGACACATCATCGCACACGCAGTCCGGGGTCTGCTCCCGAAACTTGAACCAGGCTTTACGTCGCCCCGTAAGCAACAACTCTGGAAACTTCTGCCTCACCTCGATTGGCGCAGAGAACAACTGGCTTCTGTAATCGGCGTGAAATCGAATCAGCGCCTGATTGTCCAAGTCCAGATGCCAACGCTCCACACTGCCTGGGCGAACTGCCGCCAACAGATAAGGAGCCATACCATCTGGCCTGTTCTCGCAAAGCGCCATTCCGATGGGACTGCGCTGGAAGTTCTGACAGCGGAATTGGATTTTCCTGTACACTACGGCCACTAGTTTGAGTGCGATTTCCAACCAACTGTAGCAAGACACCGAACCCAGGCCTCAGACCCCTTACGACGCAATACACTCCACAAGCCTCTCAGGAGCTCCCACAGACTGATGAGAACCACGACAAGACTCACGTCCTCCCAAGTAAACCCAGACTCACTCCGCGCAGGACTCGTTCCCTGAACTGGCTGAACACACGACGCCGCGACAAGCAGCGTGAGCAGTGAAGCAAGACGAGGGTCGGCGATACTCGGCGAAGCCAGTGAACACAGCTGTTGATCCCCTTCATGCTGTTGCGGTTGTGACTGCTGCTCGCTCTCTCCTAGCATGCACTCAACAAAACCAAGCAAGCGGAGTAAAAACTGCATGCGTCCTTCGGGCATGGACTTCGTCAAAACATCACTCGTCATCTCACTTCCCGGCACATGTTGCACCGCAATAGATTCTTCAGCCAAAGGTTCCAATGAAGTGTCTTGCACGTAACCTCAAGTGGCGAGTGCGCCAGGCACCACCTGGCACTACCAGCAACTGAACGCAGGCTGAGTTGTCCGCATTTGCCATCCAAACAGGTCCCAGAGCTCGTCCCAGCGTCATGCCTTCGACCGCTGCTATGAGTTCTGCTTCTGCTGTGGATTGAGCGGTCAGTGTTTGCTTGCTGCTGTGCCAGCTGACCACTCCACCAGCCAAGACTAGCAGCACACCATGTTGGCTTCGACCTCCATCATCCTGGCCAAAACTTGCGTCAGACCAAGTCTCCATGGTGATCTTCTTCCTGTTGTACCGAAGAGGGTTCTCCCCCCTCCAAGGCTCGTCAAAGGCACCGTAGCGAAGCATCGTCGTTGAGGTCCTGGCCAGATAGGCCAATGCCGAAAGCCAGAGTAGTTCACCAACCAGCTTCTGAGAACGTCGGAGCGCGGGAAGACTGATTTCTTCCTGTTCCTCATACCCCACCCGGAAATCTGGAAGTGTGGAATTAGCAGGAAGAGTGTAGCGACCCACCAAGTCCTTCAGGTAACAGACACTGTGGTTGGAGCGCTGGTCTTCCACAAACCTTCCAAAGCATCCTCGATTGCATCCAATTCCGCAGTCGGTCCGCTCAAGAGTAGATCGTCTACGTAAACTCCGACTATCGCCAGAATTTCGCCTTTCGAATCGACGATCTCCACTACACCGTCAGCACCAAGAGCAGCAGCCAACACAAGCCACAGTGAGGAGTCGGACTCCATCTGCTTCATTTTCCGCAAATCCCCATTCGGGCCAGGCCAGTGCCACTCTCGGAAAGTTCCGTCCCGAAAGCAACTCCAATCTGAAGGACTCTCAGCGAGCCCGTATAAGGCACGATCCACCAACAGCATGCTGCCACGCTCCATCAACTCTGCTTCGAAGACAAGTTTCGGGATAAGCACTACCACGCGTGACCCATTTCTTCGGCGAGCAGGTGCCAACAAGAAAGCAGTTTTGACATCAACGGCTCGTGAGTCCCACCGGTGACCAGCAGCCCACCTCAGTTGGATGCGCAGCGCTGCGCCAAAGGATCAATAATGCCTGCCGCTGGAGGTTGCGTCTCCGGTAGATGATTTCCACAGGCCACTAGGCGTGGCCTCTTCCGCCTCTCAGGCGGTTTCTCAGTCAAGACAAGCTTGCCCGGAATCATCTGTATCACCACTCCAGCTGCTTCCAAAGCTTCAGCGTCCTTCTGCGTTATGACTTTTACAGCCTGATGAGTGTGGATAAGCGCGTTAAGCTCATCACTGATCGCAGCTTTCCATTCATCCAAGCAGAGTCAGTTTGCCCGAGAGGTTAAGGGGGTGGACTTAAGATCCACTGCACGCATGTGCGCGTGGGCTCGAACCCCACAGCTGACATGCTTTTGGTGCGGCAGCGCAGACTACCTGCTAACCAAGCGGGCCCCACATTGGCACACCCTTGTCTTCTTTTGTCCTGCAGCGTGCTGACAACGATCCCTTCCGACGCACACTTTTTCACTTGAAGGCGAAAGACGTGCTTCGAACGCTTGTGACTCACTGTCTACACCAAGATTCTTTGTCTGGCCTTGCAAAACTCCGAGTATGAGTTCAAAAAGTAGCCGCCTATCTGTTTTGGATAGGTACCTATTGCATAGGGGTCTCTCACAATCAGGATAGGTCCCTATCCGTACCCCCCTACCCCCAGGCAACAGACCCCTATCCCCAGGATCTCCCCGATGTGGATAGGTACCTATGCATAGGCCCCTGTCCGGAAAGGATAGGGGTCTATATATAGGGGGCTGTCGCCCGGACCTAGACCCCTATCCGTGGCATAGACCCCTATCCCTTTCCGATAGCCTATCCGTCGCCTATAACTATACCCTAAGCCCTGAGTCCCTACACCCTAAACCCTAAGCCCTAAGCCTGAGCCCTAAAAAAACCCTAATCCCGAAACCCAAAAAGAAACCCTAATCCCTAAAAACCCTAAACCCTAAATCCAGCCCTAAACCCCAAAAAAACCTAATCCCTAAAAACCCTGAACCCTAAACCCAAAAAAACCTGAACCCTAAACCCTAAACCCTAAACCCACCCTAAACCATAAAAACCCCGAAACCCTAAACCCTAAACCCTAAACCCTAAACCCTAAACCCAGCCTTATGCCCAGAAAAAATCCCTAAGCCCTAAACCCTTAAGAACCCTAAACCCTAAAAACCCCTCAGCCCTCAACCCTTAAAAAACCCTAAGCCCTAAACCCTGAAAACCCTAAACCCTAAACCCTAAAAACCCTAAACCCTAAACCGTACAAACCTCGGAACCCTATAAGCCCTACACCCTTAGAACCCCTTGCCCTAAACCCTAAAAAACCCTCAACTTCAAACCCCGAAAACCCTAAACCCAAAAAAACCCTAAGCATAGGCATGTTTTTTCAAGCCCATCATGCGAGCATTCTGTGTGCAAATGGGGGGGGGTTGCGCCCCCCCCCCAAACCCCCGCTTAATTCTTTTTCGAACCCATCATGCGAGTGGTGTTTGCAAATGGGAAGGGGGGGGGGGGTAAAAATCCCTAAACCCTAAACCCCAAAAAAAACCCAAACCCTAAGAATCTTTAAGTCCTAAAAGCCTAAACAGAGGCATGTTTTTTCAAGCCCATCATGCGAGCAGTGTGTGTGTCAAATGGGGGGGGGCTGCGCCCCCCCCAACCCCCCCGCTTAATTCTTTTTCGAACCCATCATGCGGGGAAGAATCCCTGTACCCTAAACCCCAAAAAACCCTAAACCCTAAAAATCTGTAAGCCCTAAAAACCCCCTAGAACCCAAAAAACCCGAAACCCTCCCTAATCCCGAAACCCGAAAACCCCTAAAGCCTAAAAAGCTCTGAGGCCTGAACAAGAAATCCTAAACCCTAAAAACCCCTAAACTCTGAACCCCCCCAAAACCCTACAAAAACCCTACACCCTAAACTCTCGCTCGAGCACAAGTGATACATTTGTTACCATAGGGGTCTATGGGTTTGTGGATAGGGTCTATCCGGAGGGGGGTAGGGGCCTATCAAAAATGGACAGGGGTCTATGCCGCATAGGGGGGTGGTATAGGTAGGGATAGGGTCTATGCATAGGGGGTCTATTGGAAAAGGCATAGGGCCTATGCATAGGTGTCTATGCATAAACGGACAGGTCCTATGTATAGGGTCCCACCACGGACGGGGAAGGCTCAGGGAATAGGACCCTATCCCAAAACCATAGGGGTCTCTATAGGGTCTATCGACGTCTATGATAGGGGGCTACTTTTTAGACCTATCTTCAAAACTCCCAGCAGGCCTGCACTGCCTATTGTCCTACTTCCCAAAACTGCGAAAAAGCGGACGGACAACGCACGAACGACAACGACGACTTTCACCACGCACACGACAAACGAACGACTTTCAACGTCAATGACCGCTTCAGCTTTCTTTCATTGGTTTGAGGGACGCCCCGACTCCGCATCTCCATCACATGCAGCTGTCTGCGCCGCTAGGTTTGAGGGGGTGCGGTGCGCAACTCAACTTATTGTGATTTCGCAGCACAAGACCAGAAAGCACGAAACTCCAGCTGACCCAGAAGCCTTGTTCTTCTTAAAACACCTTCGATGTTTTGAGCTTCCTGCAGGGTTTGAACGAGCATAACTGTCGTAAACCACTACATAGTTCACGAGTGCGAGACATGGAAGATCAAGTGTTTTTGGCTGCCGCCAAGCAAAAAACTTAGGCCCTTAGGTATTTCCAGTCGTCTGTGACAGGGTTTCAGGCTGAAATCAACCCAACATGGAATCCGAAGTCCGCATCTGTCGTTGCGCGCACCTCATGTAGCGATCGCCTGGTGCAGGAGACTTCTCTCTGCTTTTGGGCATGGCTTCCTAAGCTGTAGCTGCACAACCTGGCAAGGTCACGGCAGCGTAACTACGAACACAATCACGATAGGCCGTACGACTTGACATTGCGTTCCATGAGTTGGGAGACAAAGCACCCCCTCTCTGGCACTCCTGACCTCAAGTTTAGCAGGCAGACCGCACTCGCCGCTGCTGGTTCCGATTGAATTGACACCATGGAAAACTCAAAGCCCCAAGACCATCTCAAGACCATCTCAGACCCCCCCAACCATTGCATCAAATCCTTTTAGCACCTTCCGCCATCGATTTTGCCTGCACACAGGTCGACCGTCTCACCGTAGTGCCGCTCCAGGGATTGCAGGAAGCCAGGGCTGCGGAGAAGCCTGCGACAGCTGGCATTTCGTTGGGAGGTTTTAACATTAATGGCTGAGGTGTTTTTCTCTTTGGGTTGCTGAGGGCAATTGCAGGTTTGGGGCCGAGAGGCCTTTGAGATTCGGAGATGTATATAGAGGGGATCCAGGTTCAGAGTTTTTTGTTTGGACGGATCTTTCTTCGCCCAGCTGTATTCTGAGCCCCACCAAGAGGACGACAATGGCACTGTGCGGACGAGCCCTCTTCCACAGCCCCAAATCCCCCCAAACAAACAGTGCACCGAAGTTAACCGCCCAGCCTGGATCGTAGCTGCTCCCAAAGCGGGGGCGCCTGAACAGTGCCACAGGACGTGCTAAGCAAAGCTCCACGGCTCCACCTGTGACGTTGAATGAAAAATCTGAGGCTTCGAACCTCTGCTCGAGGCACTGCGCGGTGGTGCACAGCAGCGACACCTCAGGTGGTCCAGGATGGGGGTTCTCCTTTTGAAGCTTAGTCAGAGGAGCTTGGGTACTGTGTTGTGGTAAGGTGGGTCGGCCCTCTCCATGGCGTCTTCCATGCAGTCTTCGGGATCTTTCAGACATGGGGCCTCTAAGATGATTTGAGTAAGTGGACGTTCATGCCGAGCAGCTTACAATCTTATATAAGTGCAACCTGCAAATGAAGCTTCTGCAGGCAGACCCCCTGCGGCAGCCTCCTTGCTGCAGCTGGTCTGCAGCGTCCTGGTCTATGGAGTCGGCTTTGAAAGGACCCTCACAGTAGACCACGAAACCCTTGTTTTATCCACGGACTGTGACTGCAAGGTTGTTTGTCAGCACCTTCATGCATTGAAGAGGCGTCTCCTGACAACGAGTGCGAGAGGTGACCCGACATCGTGCTGTGTGTCCGCGAAGCGTTGCAGATTAAGAAACCCTCGGGGTGCGCCAATGTCGTCACCTCGAAGTGCTGACCGTGGCGACGATGAGGCAAACGGATGCATCATCCTTTCGCAACTGTCCCAGTACGGACTGTTGGGATGATGAGGCGCGTGGGGTACGCGATCCTCGTGACTGTCGTCACTTTTGAACCTTCGTTTGGGGTTGACACCTCAAAAGCGCAGAAGAGAAAGAGAAGGAGAGAGATACAGAGAGAGAGAGAAAGAGTTCACTTCGGATCTCGTGTCGTGCACCCACCGCGTCTTTCATGTTCGCCGTCTGCGTGACACGTGTCTGCATTCGGGTTTTCGCAAATTTTGCCCGGCTGACAAGAGTGGGGGGAGGAGGGGGGGGGCATTTGCAAACACAATGGGCTTGGAAAAGCTTCACATGGGTTTATTAATGGTCCCAGCGCCCCTTCCACTTTTGCAAACACATGTTTGCTGAAATGTTCATGTGGGTTTGAGGGAATTGCCAGGCTTAGAGTGGGCGGGCGGGCGGCTTGGGAGGATTTGTATGGACTTTGCAAGTCTTGCACGGCTTAAACGAGCGGGGAAAAGAAGCGGAGCCACAATGCTCGCATGATGTTTTGGATAGGGTTCCTTTGTCATGCATATGCGTTTAAAAGGAACATTCGTGATGTTCATTAACGGCCCGATAGTCTTGGAAGCAAGTTTGCAGTCAATCTCAGTACTCAGCAGTGACCGCTGCATCAATTGCATTTTATCCCCAAATGCCAGAAGCCAGGCCCCGTCTTTCAATGGAAGAGACATGCTCTCTCCCCAGGACCCATGCGCAAGGAAAGTCGTAACCAGTGAGCTTGAAGCCCCCACGCACCGACCCGAACCCTTAATCTCAACACCATCCACCACCTAGACTGACTTACAGCTTAACCGGCGCAAAATCGTCGAAATACCTGGCCTCGAGCTGATCCAGGCAATCGTCCTCACGGCTTCGGCTCCAGAGACTGCACGAATAAGATAAGGGGAAAAAGGGTTGTCTGACGACAGCTTGGTCGAACGACCGCAAACGAAAGACGGAAGCCAGAATTCACATTCGTCTGGAGGGCTGAGGGTTGGGCTGCATAACTCAGGATAGCCAAGCAAATCGGGCAGCACGTCAGGTCCCCTGTATCAAATGTGATGGTGGATCCGAGGCACCCCGGCAGAATACCGGAATTGTGTTGCCAGAAGGCTGGATAAGGCTGGGACCAAGCAGAAATGTTGCACAGGAGCTGACCCTCCTTGACATCGAAACCTTCAAACCGAAATCCCAACCCTAGAGCAGACCCCCGTGCAATCTTCCGGAGCCCGTCCTTCGTATCTCTGAAAGATCTGGGGCTCATGGAGTAGCTGCCCAAGTTATACTCACCTTCCCAGGGCTTGAAAAAAAACGCGGAAATCTTGCCGCTCTGCCCCATGGGCTTTTCGGCCCGCCTGGCTTACTTGGTTCTCCTGTTATGGGGTGGCACTTGCAGTAAGCAAAAGCAGGCTTGGGATTTTGGGATTTTGTCATTTCGGGATGCTTAGGGCTTCAAGGCTGAACTTGGCAAATGGTTGCAACCTCGGCCGTTGCAATACCCAAAGCCGCACCCTCAGCGTCGTCGGTGTGAAGGAAGTGGTTGACGTGGTTCGGGTGGAACGTCACGAAGGACTCGTACACGCCAATGCACATCTCCTCTCTTGCACTGCGCTTAGCGGCTTGGCGGGAACTCGGTTCACTGCAGGTCGTGGCTTCGCGTGGCATGCGCCCAATGCATAATAGACCTTTTTTTCCCCTCTTTCTACCTTACGCGACTGCATTACCATTCGCGCTTGCGTTCCGCCATCTATTGTCGCTTGTGAGGTCCGGCCTAAGACTAAGATGACTAAGAAGCTTTCCACTCAAAAAATGCCATGCTACTCGCCCACACTCCTGAGACTCCATAGTGCTTGCGCTTGACACTCCACGTCGCACAACCGGACCCGCAACCCCCAGAATGGCAAACCAATGTTGACTTCAGAGGCCGTTTGTGAAGGCCAAGGGCCAGTGGGCTTGAAGCCCAAGTCCGAGTATCAATGTGTAGATGGGGACTTCGCACAGCAACTTTGGATCCCTAAGAACGTAAGGCCTGGGACACACAAAGGACGGTGTGAGCGACGCCGCCGCTGAACATGTAGACCTTACTGCCCCACCATGCTGTCTGACCTCTTTTGTTTGTGCCTACAGGCCGCTGGCCCAGAGAGCTCTTGCATTGCATCGCTCTGTCCGATAGCAGGAGCTATCGCAGAATCATGGCAGCCCGGCTGCCCACGCATCCACAGCAACTAAGGGCCAGTCATCCCCCGGCTGCAACAAAACCACCTTCGCAGCCTTGTGAAGTGCCTGGACGTACTGGTCACAGGCACACAAGGATGCTCGCGGCAATGAACCAGTGGCAGTTACAAACTGGCAGAATTAGGGTTGATGGGTAAGTGAGCCTGTGGTACTTTTTACAGCGTCCAAGAACACCCTTTTTTGGGTTGTGGCCACCTGGAGTGCGGTCACCTGCGACCATTTATGGGAACCAGTGCCACACCCGCTTTCTGACAGAAGCTGTAGTGCATGGTACAATTACGGCAGCTGATGAAGACCACGATGATCTAGAGGCTGGAGCTCGGAGCACCCTCATACTATAACCCTGCTAGGACTCGCCGACTTCGAGCACTGCAAACGCTGGATTTCGAGCCCGCGCCAAGGAACCCCGAGAATCCCTTTTTGCAGCCCAACGCATGTTGAGCTCCGGTTGGCTCCAGCTAAGTTTGCCATCCTAGCCACTAAATCTTTTATTGCGCTAACACGCCCCAGCCTCAAGCTCCCTGGGCTGCAAAGGTGGTACGAACAACCTTGGCGCCAGGAAAAAGTACGTGTCGAACCGCTTGGCAAATCGGAAGAAAACAAACATGCACCTTCGCACCAACAAACAGATGACCCCAAACAATGAGCCCAATTTTCATGCAACAACCTCTACAAGTACTTCTCTATTGGAGTGACAAAAACAACCTCTCAACTGCCCCAGTTTGAAAACGAACCTGTTCCGTGTAACACGTGCAGCCCAAAGGCACGTCGTAGAATTCCAGAGCGACCTCGCAACACCACTATTGCCAAGAACCCAAAAGGTTTGAGACCAAACTATGTTTTCGGGTCGCACCCAGAAAACTGCGTTGATGCGATGAATAACACACCCATACACACCCTCAACATGAATGATTCAACTTCATTGTCTGGTCCCAGCACCCGAAAGAAAACGGCCGTCACATCCGTGCCTGCTTGCTGCATTCGCCTTTTGGCCACGCGGCGGCAAGCTTGTAGCCCTTCCCAAAGAACTTTTCAACACACCAACACCATTTGCAAGTGTTGCAAGCGACCTTTTATTAGCTCCTTACACCAGCTGCGTGTGTCAGAGTTCAAGGCTTCAACCTTCTTGAACGAACAAGTGCAGCGACATGAAGCTGATATTCAAAAAAAGGAGGGGATGTCTGGAAGCCCACATGAAGCAACACAATCTCAGCACGCGACTCTTTTTTTAAACGTTTCACACTCCTCCATAAGAAAGTTTGTACCAAAAACACACTTCGACTGAGACTAAACCACATGAAACCCATCGGCTCAACATCGCAGATCGAAACGTGCCAATTTATGCCGGTGGCATTCTCCAAATCCATATTTTCTATGAGCCTTGTAATTCCGGCCGACGTTGCTCCACAAGACCTGGAAGGAGGAAAGGGTCGCGGTCTGGACATGCACACCGGAAGCGGACTGATCGAAACCACGTTTGGCATCATAGACTGATCACAAAATCACGATTTTGCACGGAAACGTTGTACCAACGTTCAGAGCCTCTTCTTACACTGAATCAAAATGTGTCAGGTGTCCGTGCCACGTCCGGGCCTGATCCACGTGAAGGCCTTTGCCACTGAACCTGCCACCGGCAAAGAATCCTTCGTCGTAGCCTGGTCGTGAAGCTATTGCCGAATGAAAACGGTAAGGATCTGGATCTCTGCATCAATTCTGAATCAAGCCAAGCGGCGATCCCAATAAAGCCTGCCGGGTGGGCATCCAACGGCACTTGCCACATGTTGAATGGGTTGCACTTTGGGGCTGGAACGTCCAGCTTGCCAGCGGCCCCAACACGTCCTTCACAGCTTGCTTGGTTTGGCAGGAGCGTTCGCAATGTTGCTGACCCCTTCAGTTCTTGTCAAGCTGAAGTCGGCCATGCGCCTTCACATCGCGCTGGCAAATTGTTTTCACCTGACAAACGAACATGCCTCTGAATGCCGCAAGTCCGCGTGGCAAATTTGACGGAAAACATCAACCCTTCGAATGTCAAATGTGCCTAAGATATCCCAAGCCAAGCTCCAATTCAGCCCCAAACTCCCCCAATCAATCAGCACACATGTAACCGGGGAGAGTTGCTTTTTTGTTTTGTTCCAGGTCGTACATCGTTCTCTTGCGTACGCCGGCGGCCTTGCGCTCTGGGTGACGAAAACACTGACGGAATGATTGACTTAAGATGACTTAAGTTTGGGGGGCACGTTCAACTGGAGATTGGGGCTACGAAAGCTAAACAAGCGCCGGACAGCGAAACCACGCATTCTCGAGGGATGAATGAGCCCTCTGAAAATTCTTGACTTGAAGCAAGCCTAGACACCCCTAAATCCTAAACCCAAGCCCAAGCCCAACCCTGCGCAACAAGATCGCAAGAAGTTCCCCATATCCATATCTGCTCATGCACCCTGGATCGATGAGGGGCATGAGCAGCTCATACGATTGCTTTTATTCCCGATGGCATGGTGGAGGGTTTTTCAGCGGAGGTGGTGGTCGTTAAACAGTGTCGTTATATAGATGACCTGATGGATTTGACGGATTTCGTCGCGTGATGGATTTGGTGGGTTTTCCTCGTAAGAACAACAAAAGCATGGGGTAGGGTTGGCGGGAGCCGCCGCAGTTCGTTAAAAAAGTGGAAAAACGCGAACCCTCTGCGTGTTTTCGCGTTGTCGAAACGTAACACAAGAATTTGCGGGGTGTCGTGATCGCAGGAACGACAGCCCTCTGCGTGATTTTGCGTTGTCGAAACACAAAAACGATGACCCTTTGCGTTGTGCCCGGCGTGTCGAGATCGCGCAAACAACAACCCTTGCGAAGGTCGGTCCAGCAGCCCTGCCCTCAGTCGAGCTGCCCTGGGCGCTCGCGCGAGCTAACGGAGGATCCTGGCCACGGCTGCACCGGCAGCTCAAGCAACGTCTGCGCAAGAGCACGCAAAGCTGCCAGCGACGCGAGGCAGTGCCACCGCTGGGTGAGCGGCGCCCGCGCTCGTCCACGTGCCCTGGCCAAGCGCCGGATTAAGCTGGGCCTGGCGGCTGAAACGCCCTCCGACCCCCATGCCGAAAATGACCAGCCGACATCGCCCTTCCCCCCCCGCCCGCAACTCACGGAGCGCGCACCCGGGCTCAACATCGGCCCCTTGGCACGGTCCTCGCGCCACAACGGCAGACCTCGATGCGGCGGCCGTCCGAGGCGGGGACATCGATGTTGATGTCACGGACGACGCTGTTGGACTGCTTGGCTCTTGGGGTTTTGAGGCCCGAAATGTCAGGGGTTCAAAATTGACAAATTGGGTGTTGGAGCATCAGTTGCACATTGTCAGCCGTTTTGCTAATGCACCAGTGCATGATAGTTGGACGTGCAAGCGTGCTTTTGACACCAGCCTGGTTCAAATTGATTACATCATTTGTGATGTGAGATTGGGGCCACTCATGACTTGGAACGATTTTTCGATTGCAACAGGGTTGGACCATCGATGCGTGCATTCCTTGGTTGAAATGGTTGTGACCGATCCAGTTCGCCATCGGAGGCATCGTAAAAGTTTGAAAGGGTGGCACCCTATTTTGGACGCAGAGAAAAAACCGAGTCATTATCATGCGGTACTTCAATCCTTGCTTGCCCAGCATCCCGTGCCAAGTTTGGAGACCATTGAAAAGCTGCTCCACGCGGCTGGGGAGCGTGCAGGACATTGTAGTCGTCATCGTCCGAAGTTTTCACCGTCGTTGGAGCTGCAGCGGTTACGTCGTCAAAGACGCACTGCAGCGAGCGTACAAGTTCGCAAGTCGTTGAGCCTGGAAATCTGTCGGCTTCACCGCCGGGAGGTTCGTAGCTGGAAGGCTTCGAGTCTGTCGAAGCTGTTGAATCGGGCTGTAAAGGGCGCAAGCCTGCAACAAATGCTTTGCTCTTATTCTGGCAAAAAGCTCCCCTGACAACCTCAGCCTGATGAATTTGCCGATGACTTGGAAGCTTTGTTTGCAGGCAACCCACCGGAGCCTTGCAGACCTTCGGATTTGGATGAAACGCCTTGGACAATGGGAGAACTTCAATGTGCCGTTCATCGCTTGAAAGCGGGAAGAGCAGCTGATGATGTTGGTTTGGTCATTGAGTTTTTTTCCTTGAGTTACTAAAGCATGCTCCTGATGAAATCCTCTCTGTGATTTTGGATTCGTTCAATACCTTCTTACTTCGAGGCAACGTGCCAGCTGGTTGGCGGAAAACTGTTTTCACCATGTTGGCAAAAATGACAAAAGCAAGGACCACTTTGGATTTTAGGCCAATTGCTAATGTTCGTCTGATGTACAAAGTCTTTGCGCGTAGGATTCTTGCTCGCATCGAAGACATCTTGGACGCGTCGCAACCAGAGGAACAACACGGTTTCAGAGTGGGACGCCGTATTGAAGAGCATCTACTTACGGCAAATGTTCTGTTGGATAAAGCAATTGCTGCCAATCTTCCCCTTTGGGTTTTTTTTTTGGATTGTAAGTGTCGATTTTGCCAAGGCGTTTGACAGTGTTGAGTGGTCTGCTCTTTGGACAGCGTTGCGGACACAAGGTGTATCTGACCATTTGGTGTGGCTTTTGCAGATGTTATACCAAGATCAAGAAGGTGTTGTTCGCGGCGATTCCGATTTGAGCCGCTGGTTCAAAATCTGTGGGGGCGTCCGCCAAGGTTGTGCTTTGAGTCCTCGATTGTTCTGCGCGGTTCTTCAAGCCGCTCTCAGCGCTTGGCGGCAATCTGTCGAGTCTCTAGGTCTTGATTTTGGTGATGGCCTACCACCATTACTGGACCTCAGATTTGCTGACGACTTATTGCTGTTCGCAAACTGTGCACATGATGCCGCGCAAATGCTGGATGAGTTGGTCCGCTGTTGTTCAGCTGTTGGCCTCCACTTGAATGCTAGAAAAACCAAGGTGTTGACCACCGAAGCGCAAGCGCCCTCCGAGTTGATCACCCCCACTGGCAACACCGTCAGCATTTTACCACCCAGTGACACTCATAAGTGGTTGGGCTGTTTATTGTCGAGCCGTGGCTCAAAAGCAAAATCTGCTGATGTGGACTTTCATATGCAGGCTGCGTCGAAAGCATTCTTTCATTCTTTGCAAACAAGGACGTGCTGTGCGATCGCAACGTTTCCTTGACACAGCGACTCCGATTTTTCGATGCCGTGATCACTCCCGTGGCATGTTTTGCGGCTGGCCACAGAGCCATTTTCCAAGCAGATGTTCGCCATCATGATGTTGTCTTCAGAAAGTTTTTGCGGCGCATTGTTGGTCCTCCGTCCGACGTCGAATGGGACATGCCGTGGCACCACATATTACACCAGTGGAACATGAAGCTTTGCGGTGTTGGGAAGCTTTGCGACGGCCTACCTACATGGGGACAACTTTGTTTGCATTCCTATTGGAATTTTGCGAGACACATCGCCAACTTGCCTGATGCAAGATGGGTTAGACGTGCTTTGAAGTGGCAGCCGGTGGGGCGGCCTAACCCTGGTAGACGCTGCAGCATGTGGATGACTTGCCTGGACAACTTCGCTCGCTTCCGACGCTGGGCCAACTGGGAAACAGCAGCTATGAACAACAATATGTGGAATGAATCACGCGATGATTTTTGCAAATTTGTGATGGGGCAGGAATCTGCATAAAAGGTGCCTGTAGAACGTTTCACCTGTACCCTAAAGGGGACGCCTTCGGGCGATCAGGTCTCGACTCGACTGTCACGGACGACGCGTGCGGCCACACGCGCCCGGCAGCCGCACGCTCCATCCAGTGGGCCTGCTCCAACTTGCCCGCAGGTGGTGCGGTGGTCCCCGAATGAGTCGAGATCCCGGCCGCAAGGGCATGTTTCGGGATCCGTTGCTTCGCAATTTTGCTGTCAGGGGGAGACGAGCCCATACACATCCCTGCACTGGCGCAACCGCGAGCCTGCGCATCGGTGGCCTCGGTCTCGTCTCTGCAGCAGATCATCGGCACGCGGCTTACTGGGTGTCTTTGGCGGATACCGTCGTGGCGCTGCGGGGGCATCACCCAGGCACGCTGGCTGACCTGAGCTGGACGCTGAGGCTGCTGTGCCCGATGTCGCACCCAGCGCGTGGGAGGCCGAGCTGCGTACGCTCGGCCTGGAAGTGCCGGCCTGGGCGGCCCAGCCTGCAGAAGCGGCCGCCCCGTCAGCCAGAAAGGGGTGGCAGCGGCACGCCAGTGTCTCTGTTGACCAGCGCGCGTTCGAGACGCGTTTCACTGACCTTGATACTGCGTTTAGAGCGCTGCTGCTGTAGCTCTGCCCTGACCGCGCTGCCTGCGGATCTTGCATGGTCGGCAGGCCTGCGAGTAATTCGTCGTGCTTGGAGCGACGCTTGTTTTTTGGCAGTGTCGAAACGCAAAAACACGTTGTCGAAACGCACGATGACCCTCTGCATGCGCGCAAGGTGTCGTGATCGCACCGTGATCTTGCATTGTGGAAATGCAAAACGAGGACCCTCTGCGTGGACGCGGTTTTCGTGGTCGCACTAACGACAACCGTCTGCGTGCTGGGCGTTGTGAGTGAGTGAGTGAGTGAGACCTGCAAGCCGACAGGCAGCCCCTCTGGGGCGCAGGCAAACATTCAACACAGCAAGTGACATTGTAACACTCGCTTGTCAAAGCTACAACAACTACTTGACGTCATGAGCTCGGACATCATTGCTGTACAAACGCGAGGAAAGCAGCAAAATGATTCTCCCAATTGGTGCTGGGCGTTGTCGCAAATGGATTTCGTGAAACACAATGGGGTCGACCCGCAGACGACAAGGTCCAGGCACCGACGGTCCCCTGGAGGTACTCCAAACGCGGTGGTGTGGGCCAGCCACTGTTGCGGCACCACTTGGCCCTCTGGGCGAACAGCCTCGCGTGCGACGCGCACCCACGCGCGCTCGACGATCTTGCGCGGCG